CAGGTAGTTGTATCCCTACCAACGAAAGCTTGTTCATATTATTGGCACTACCTGACCTTAAAGTCCACCAAAAAAGGTTATTTCCAGCCTATCTATCCCAATTTTTCAGGATATGTGACCGGAACCACAGGATATTTTTAGTTTTAGGCCTTACGCCCGTATTCTAAAAGCTCACTCACACTCAATGAGTGGAAGTTCAATCTGAGCTTCCCTTGAGTGTCATTGCTGTTTTTGAATAGCTGGAATGTCACATAGTGAGGTACGACACTAACCCTCAAGCTATTCAAAAACAGCAATGACACTCAGGAGAAGCTCAGATTGAACTTCCACTCATTGAGTGTGAGTGAGCTTTTAGAATACGGGCATAAGTCTAATGCTTAGTATTTAAATGTAGTGCGGTAATTAGTCGAACAGGCTGTTCGGTTTTACATGTGTAACCGAATTTGTTCTCAAAATTTTTTCAAATTTCGGCAATGTGAATGTGATTAGTTAGCGAAGGTAATTTACCAACACTGGTCTATTAACATTGTCTTTTTAATAACCATGCAAGCAAGTTTGTGTTGTTTTAATTCCGATTCAAGAGAACAAAACTTAAATTTTGCCAAGACAGCGGTGAATTTTCAAAGCTCCAAAGATTTTGCAACATTTTATTACTGACACCGGGAACGTTTATGGGCGCACACTGCAGTCAGTGGAAATGCTGCATTTATTTAGTATATAATAAAGAAAATGGACTGTATGGAGGAAAACACGATCTATACTGTGTCTATATTATCAAAATAAAATTTTTAAGTGTCTATATTTTAAAACATTTAACAATAGACAATTCCCATTATAGATTATTTTTTTATCTTGGCAAAAAAGTATATTCCCGGAAAGAGCATACTAAAATGAGTAAAATTGCAAAGCTTGGTTGCGAAATGTTGTAAAATCGGAAAATATAGCCAAAAAGTATACAAAATTTGCGACGTTTGCAAGGATATATATTTTCCGCATTTTATAACATTTCCCAACCAAAAATTGCAATTATACTCATTTTAGTAAGCTCCTTCTATAGCTGTAACATTTAACAATTATTCGCCGAAGGCGAGGTGATTATCGGGGAATATTCGCCGAGACGAAGTCGAGGTGAATAAACAATCGTAAACAAATTTTTTCATTGTTCAACGACACGGATCGATGACGACACACAATTATATCACTCAAAACGACCAATTTTTATTAACCAGTCTTCCTTTAAACAAAAGACCGGTTTTGCCTGAATTATTTTGAGTTATGTAATCTTATGCGTGTTGCACGTAAACAACATATCTTGTCTACAACTTTGAGAAGGTACAGATAACGCTTTCTAAAATCCTCAGTTCTAGAGATCTCTCTGTAAAATCACAAGGACGTTAATGCTATGGCCCCGTTTAGACGCCGTGCTTTTGATGAGTCGAACTTAATACAATGAATTAAGCACACGAGAAGCACGGCGTCTAAATCAATTAAGTACTGCACTTAATATTAAGCACGGCTAAATTGATAAGTTCGCCTGGTTCAGGCGTGCTACACGGCTGAAGCACATGTTGATTTATACTGCCGTGCTTTACATGAGCCGTACCAAATGCATAAATTATGATAAAATAGAACATTTATAGTACGCGTGCGTTGATTGGTCGAGAAGCGTGTTTCCACGCGGGAAATTTCCCGCCTAAACTTACAATCGTAAACAAAACAATTTTAATGCAAATTAAGAAATTGTTACAGTCAAAATACAAAAACCTTTCCACTTCCGCAGCTTGTTTTGTATTTCTGTAATTTGTTCTATTTTTTCTGTAGTGATTTAATACCGCTTTATCGGCAAATATCGCGGTAGAATTTTCCTTTCTTTTCTTTATATACGTCAATTTGTAGCAAAGGATACACCTTTCGTTAGATTCTTTGCATACAAGTTGCGAAATTAGGCTTATAGCGAAAAGGCAAAAAGGCTTTCTTGCAGTAAATTGATGGAGCAAAGGTCGGCATTATTATGCAATGAGAATTTGTAAATATATGGAGACAGTCTACTACAAATCTTTTTTTAGTTATATTATGAAATAAATATAAAACATTATGTGTAACCCATACAGTTATAGAAACACTTGTAGTAGTTTGAGAGAACTCGAATAACGTGGGAAAACTCGCCCTAAGCCTATAGGTCTCGTTTTCCCACACATTATATCCAGGCATTATGCTATATATTTGTAGTAATAAGGCTTTTCAGAAAGCAGTTGAAATTTTTAATAATCGCAAACCTGTAGACGCTCAGAAATGCCAAGATTGTATGTGATAAACCCTTTCTTGTTATTATGAAATGTCACTCGCCCCAGGTTTCGAAGTGAAGCAGCGCAAATTATTAAGTACGGCTCATGAAAAGCACGCCTGTCTAAATCAAAATTGGAAGTACGCCTATTTTACTCGAGTAAAATATGAATTAAGTTCGGCTCATGAAAAGCACGGCGTCTAAACCGGGCCTTAGGAGGGGTTTGGGGGCACTCAAAAATCACAAATTTTGATTGAGACTGTATCTATGAGATTTGTTTAATTCACAAGCCACAAATGTCTGGTGTAAAGAGGAGCATTTCTTCATCCAAATTCTTCAACTCGTGCTGGAAATGGCATTTCCGACCCGCAATTTTGTAAATTTTCCCCAGGAGAGCATGCCCCCGAACCCGTAGTATTCACGGCTCCTATTCTGCTTCTCTGTTACAATTAAATCATGTTTTGCGAGCCGTGTTCGCACTTGGCTGAAAATCTTAACTTATGGTTCAAAACTTAGATGGAACTGATTAGCTTCCCCCGAATAAAACCTGTTTCGCTGCCACTGGTTGTAGTATACAAGAAAGTCGGTCCCAGATCGTCGAAGCCCTCCCCCAGCAATTTGTTGAATGTACGCCCCTGACTCCACCCCAACAAAATGCCACTGATTTGTGTGTTAGCTCAGTCCATTCATTTGGTGCAACCACGTGACTCTCATCAACGCTCATCATGAAAGTATAGTGGTCCACCTTTATTATGAAAGTATACAGTGTTTAAGCTATCATTCTCCACATACACATTCTCCATACAAAATCAACGAACACTTAAACTTTCCTAATCCTTCTGTCCTCAATAAATTAGCAAAATTACTAAAAAAAACTATTTGTGCAGCTGAAAGTTGATAAGTACCATAAGCCTTAACTAGTGCTAGGTTTGATTATCAGGTAATCATCTATTTATAACTTATGATGATATAGTTAGATTTTGTGTGGTGTTTAGTACAAGCTTTAAAAGCACACTTCAAACATGCATAGATGGCTTCAACAAAGCCGTACGAAAACGATACATCATAGACATAGAAAAAACCGAAACAGTTTTATGTTTAGCCGTGATAAAAAGTAATGATAAACTAGTAATCCAAATCTATAGTAGAAAGGTGGTAAACCAAACAATATCACACTCAGCTGATATATTGCATTTACCAACGCCTCAGTGGCATCAAATTTGTAAAGAACACGTGAAAAAACTCGAGCAAAACTTCTTGGATAACTTTTAGCAGGGTTCCGGCCCGAAACTTCCGGGTGGGTTCCAGGTTGGTTCCGGTGTCCCAGGATTTTCACCCCTCCTAGAAATTCCTAGTAAATTCCCCCCCCCC